CGCCCGGTGACTTTTTTTTTTTTTAATTGTTGAGTATTGCTTTATGGCCAAGTATGTGATTGATCTTAGAATATGTGACATGTGCAGATGAGAAGAATGTATATTCTGCGGTTGTTGGGTATTCTGTAGATTTCTGTAAGGTCTATTTGGTCAAATGTCCAGTTTAGCTTCCAAATATCTTTGTTAGCTTTCTGCCTTGATGAAGAATCTAACACTGTCAGTGGGGTGTTGAAGTCGCCTGCTATTATTGTCTGGTTGTCTAAGTCTTGTTGTAGGTCTCTAAGAACTTGTTTTATGAATATGGGTGCTCCAGTGTTTGGCGTATATGTATTTGGGATAGTTAAGTCTTGTTGAATTGAACCATTTATCACTATGTGATGCCCTTCTTTGCCTTTTTTGATCATTGTTGGTTTAAAGTCTGTTTTGTGTGAAATAGCAATCCCTGTTCTTTTTTTCCCCCCATTTGCTTGATCTTTCTCCATCCTTTTACTTTGTGCCTATGGGTTTCATTGCATGTGAGGTGTGTCTAATGTAAAGAGAGTATAGAGTTGGGTCTCATTTCTTTTTCCAACTTGCCACTGTGTGCCTTCTAAGCGGCGTATTTAGCCTATTTACATTCAAGGTCAATAGTGGTAAGTGAGGATTTGATCCTGTCATTATGTTGTTAGCTGGTTGTTATGTGGACTTTATTGTATGGTTGGTTTGTAGTATCGGCAGGATATGTGCTTAAGTTGTTTCTGTGGTGGCAGATATTCATCTTTTGCTCCCAGGTTTAGCACTGTTTTAAGGACTTCTTGTAAGGGAAGTCTGGTAGTATCAAATTCCCTTAACATTTGTTTGTCTGAAAAATATTTTATTTATCCTTCACTTATGAAGTTTAGTTTGCCTGGGCATTAAATTCTTGGTTCAACTTTCTTTCTTTTAAAAATGCTGAGTATAGGCCCCCAGTCTCTTCCAGCTTGTAAAGTTTCTGAAAGGTCCACTGTTAGCCTGATGGGGCTCCCTTTGTAGGTAACCTGTCACTTCTCTCTAGCTGCCTTTAATATTTTTCTTTTGTATTGACCTTGGAGAATCTGATGACTATGTGTCTTGGGGATGGTCATCTTGTATAAAATCATCTCACCTCACAGGGGTTCTCTGAATGTCCTGAATTTGCATGTCAACCTCTCTAGTGTGGTTGGGGAAATGTTCATAGACAGTATCATCAAATATGTTTTCCAGGTTCCTTGTTGTCTCTCCATCTCTTTCTGGAATGCCAATGTCTTATAGGTCTGGTCTTTTTATATATCCCATATTTCTTGTAGGTTTTATTCACTTTTTAAAATTCTTTTTTCTTTATTTTTTTTCTGCTGCATTGGTTCGAAGGAGTAGTGTTTGAGCTCTGAGATTATTTTCCAAGCTTAGTCTAGTCTGTTATTAGTGCTTCTGATTACATTGTGAAATTGCAATTGCTGTAGTTAATTTCTTATTTCCCGAAGTTCAGTCTGACTCTTTCTTTTTCTTTTTTTTTTTTTTTTTTTTTTTTTGAGACAAGGTTTTGCTCTGTTGCACAGGCTGGAGTGCAGGGGCATGACCTTGGCTCACTGCAACCTCCATCTCCTGTCTCCTGGGTCCAAGGGACTTGTGCCTCAGCCTCCCGAGTAGCTGGGATTATAGGTGCCTGCCACCACACCCAGTTAATTTCTGTATTTATAGTAGAGATAGGGTTTCACCATGTTGGTCAGGCTAGTTTTGAACTCCTGACCTCAAGTGATCCACCTGCCTCAGCCTCCC